TATCACCTTTAAAGCCCTACATGGCATGGGGCCAGGTTACCTGAGGGACTGTCTCATCCCCTTGCATCGAGCCGTCCCACCCAGTCTGGCAGAGGAGGCATGTTGTGGATCCTGTCGGTGAAAGAATGTCGACTGGTGGGGCCTAGTAGGAGAGCCTTCTCTGCCATTGCCCCACCTTATGGAATACTCTCCCCGCAGAGGGGAGGCGGGCCTCTATCCTCCCAATTTTTTGGAGGGAATTGAAGACTTGGCTCTGCCAACTTCCGTGGGGTGAGGAGAGAGACGAACGATCCTGGGGGTGGCTGGCGCCTTGACGACGCTCCCTGAGTTTATTAATACTTAATTCACCTAATTAACATCAGCCTCTTGGAAATATCATATAGGAAGTTTGCTTTTAGCACAATTAATTAATTAATTAATTAACATTTATCTATTTCAATTAATGTTTATTCTGTTTTTTACTGTAAACCGCCCAGAGTCACTCTGTAGTGAGATGGGCGGTGACAAATTTGAAATATAAATAAATAAAATAAATAAAATTTCCCAGAACAGGCTGTATAAATTGGCCACCAATGTGCCATTCCTCAGATGAGTGTAGCCCCTAAAAGCACCAATATTTGACCATCTCTGACCTAAATGGATATCCAGTAGAACATGTGGAATAGGTTGCTTTATTATAACAGAATGAATTAGGACACATCCTTTGTTCTAGCCTAACTCCTTAAATGTTGCAGCGGATCCTGTTGTTACCTGATGCCTTTTTCTGATCTCCTATCAACAACACTTGTTGACAGTTTGACACAAGAAATCAGAAATCATATTTTTAACACAGACGTTCTTAACAATAAAACTTGTGCCCCGATTCAATCTATATAGTCAGGAGGTGCTGATCAAGAGAACAAAGACTCAATCCTTTTCTGAATGGAAACCAAATCAGATGATCTTCACCTTCTGCTGTGATGTAGGGGTTGTGCTAGGGATGAGAGGTGGGCATTTACAGTTTATTATTTGTGTCTTCTCATTGGCAACGGTCGCTACATTCAGCTGCCTTTCCTTCAAAAAGAATGCGTCAGCGATGAGCACTCTTTTGAAAAAAATACTCTCAACCTCATAATCTGGTTCGGCCTCCTTCTCACATTCTCAGCTCCGCGCAATTCTACCCATACAATGAGGAGAAACTAACAAGATGAATCTAGTAATACTTTTTATTAGACCAAAGGTTTTTAGCTGGGAAACACAAAAGCATTTTTTTAAAAATCAAATTTATATCAGGATGGTTCTTGAAACCTAATTAATTAGCCAGAAGTGTAATGCACTTCTCTTTACAACTCAGGGGCATTACTGTCCAGAGAGAAGCATAATCTATATTGATTCATGAGAGAGAAAGCCCATTATGATGCACATGACTTCCATCATACAGTTATTAAAATTCTAGGGGATTGGAGCACTCTCCACACAATCACAGACAATGAAAATGTTTCTCCTAGGTATCGAAGGCACATTACAATCCACTGGGAAGTTTTATATATATATAAATATATATATATATTTATTGGATTTCTCCCCCGCCCATCTCCCCTACAATAGGGG